ATGTAGTGAACGATTAATCAAAAGATATGACGTATTCAGTACTTAGTGTGATTGGCTTTATGATTGAAGGTTACGCCTTAGAGTCTTTTTACTGCTTTGTAATTGGTTAGAGTTTTGAAAATGAATAAAGAGAGTTTGAGTTGGTCTTGAAGAGTACTCCACGACAGACGCAGTCCTAGAGAGTCGAGTGCAGTCCTGGGCAGTCGAGGGTGCAGTCCTGGGCAGTCGAGTCGAGTCCGAGAGAGTCTTGGGGCGAGCCTTGACGCAGTCCAGTCTTGGGCTAGTCTTGGGTCAGCCTTAAGAGAGTCTTGGGGACTTTTTCCCCAGGGCGCTGTGTCTGATAGAGTGCTCGATTGACCGACTAAGACGAGAGCTGAAACGTATTTCGTTGTGTGTGTCTTATTTGACTGTAAAGTTAAAGTGACTTTCCCGATCCCGTACCTCAAGGGGACGAGATATAGAGACGAGACGAGTTTCCCCCCTGACACGTGTGGAGAACCCAGAGAGAGAGATTTTCCCCCTGATACTCACGTGATCTGAGCCACCAGCCAGGAAATTACACGCGTCCCGGCGAGCATTACCAGCGGCACCCACAACAACGTAGCCCTGGTCGTAGAGGCGGTTTGTAGCGGTGTTATACGACACGGATACATATTCATTCTGAGTTCCGCTTGCTATCAGTACAACCGCCGGTTTGGCGCCACCGCTGAATAGTACCATATCCATACCTACGTGACGTAAAAATATGTATCAGTTTGTCGTTTCAGTGAACAGCGTTTCATTTAATTTATTTTCATCATGAAATACTCTGCGCCGTCGTTCCACTCTCGTATTCTGGAATAATGAATTAAAGGGCGGTGGTCGTCGCGCTGCGCATGTGCGACATTTGTGTTCATAAACATTGATTTCCCCCACAATCCAATACGCTCTTTTAATGGGAAACACGGGGTTGACCTTAGATACCTCCCAAATCACCTAAAAAAATACCTAATTACAGCTTGGTAACGTATCAGTTTGTACTCGTTGATCTGCGCAACAGTCAAAGTCTCCATCTTTGTTGATATGAGACCCATATATCTCGCGCATGCGTGGCGCGACGACTACCGCCCCTTAATCTTTTGATTCAACGTCGTATATAAGATGCCTTCGCCCGAGTGGCAAACAGACTTTCCAAAAAATGTCAGGAATTTTACTAAGAACTATTATACATGTCTTCAATGATTACTGTTGTGTACATTCAACAGAAGTTACAATATATCGCCAGGAACGTTGCATCACATGATTAATTCCAACCAATCATGGCACAAAACAATAAAACGTCACCAGAAACGTGATATTACGTGGTTAGTATGAACCAATCTTGATCATTTATCCTCATTATCATCAGAAAAATCTGGGGAATGAGCCAGTAATAACATGAGAATGGCTTCATGCTCTTGACCAATCTTTACCGTGAATTACATCGCTCAGGTAATCATATGTCCGACCATCACACGTGCCGGTCAAAACCCGCACATCCCACATCGTGACGCCCTTGGCCACGCCGTAAGTGTTTCCTCCAACGATGCCTGCCATTGCCGTTCCGTGTTTACCACACACCGAAAACGCCGCATCGGAAGCTGCCTGGCCCTGTAATCAGAAATCCGAGTTTGAGAACAGGATGTGTCAGATTGTTGTGTGCTTTTCTGTGAACTTTAATTAACCGTCTGGACGAAATGATAATGTTTAGCGCCAAAAATGTGCAAATTTTTATCTATATATATTTTTTAAATTTTGGAACAATTGGACGTAATTTTCTATTGGCTACAATCTCGAAGAAAATTTTTAAAATGTTGTAAAAGGTGACAACAGTTGACTTTGGGTGCTTATGGGAATAAAATCTATTGTTATAGATATTTTAGTTCGTACCAATTAGGCCTCCTATCTGGGTAAAACGAAAAAAGCGGTAGCAAGAGCAATTTTCGGCCTCAAACGCCGACAACTTTGTGCAGAACTGTGTGAAACGTTGTACTATGATGAAGAGTTTCTAAATGGATGGAGAAAAGTGCTCAAAAATTATTGTTATATAATACTCACGTGACAAATAACAAAAACTCTTAGGACAGTTGTTGACGGTCCCATGTTTTGTATTGTTCAGGAAGGATTTAAAATTGGAACCCCAGTAAATATCGACGAATTAATTGCATTTGCCGTACTTCCGCTAGCACACCTGCTAATTGCGCGTACATGAGTGTTTGTCGCGTACCTGCATGAAGTCACATTTCTCACTATGATCAGGCACTAGTTTGACTCTTCCAACGAATTCTTCATGATCCTCCATAATGCCACTGTCTATTATATACACCTCAACTCCGTCACCATTATCTGCAATACACAACAAGTGGTGGTATACATTATTATTTTACTTAAAGTTAAATTGAAAAAATAAAAATAAAAAATAATACAGCTTTCTACGGTGGCCCAACCCGACAAAGCGTCGCAAAGTTTTAATACCACAAGTTCAACACCGTTCAAATAGCATTTTTCATGCACAATTCTGTCGCAGTTGCCTCGTATTAGAGCGATATGGTCTAATCTTTAAAGCACATTTGTTCAGCAAAAATATGCCCAGATAACGTACACCCGAGTAATTTGAAAGAAACTTACTAAGGGGCTCATAGGTAGCTCCATCCAACGGTAGCAATTGCTGGTCAATTCTATCCAAATGAGGCGGTGTGATATGTCCTATAATTTTGGAATCCTTTTCAACATAATCTACCTCTGTGTAACCTCTGACCTGTTAATTAGAAAGCAGAACTATTACACAACACATGCGCGATGCGACAAAGCATTGTAGTAAACCATACCTTTTTACGGTGTCCGATGATAGTCTGGCTGGTTGGCTGGGGCACAGCGACCTAAATATTACTGTAACAGTAATCATGATTACCACGTGTTACATTTGCGTCATTACGTGACTTGTTTGTGCTTACCTCATCCAAGAGGGCGGTGTCCATGTCAGCGCTGAAGCCCATAAAGACGTTTTCAAACAGCTTATCAATGCTTATATAGCCGCCATTATTTTCAGCGTACCGTACTGCACGGTGAGCTACATCGATCAAAGACACGGTGGTTTCTCCCTAGTAAAATAAAGACAACTTCAAGTAAAACAAATCTAATAGCTCAAATATGCAAATGACGCCTTACTCATGACCTTATATACAAACAACCCACATATCACCCCAATCGGTGGATATGTATGAACAATATTACCTTATATGGACAATTGATTAGAATATTCATGACATAGTTATAGTTTCAATGAGAAGGAGGCTACATTTCCCTAACTTGACCTAGGATGCTAGTAATATCTCACTTTGATTCAGGTTTGTTGGATGGAAGTGTCGTAAACACGCACATGATTTAAACTGGCCAAAAAACATAGAAAATTGTACTTTTTAGGAAGCTCATGAAGAATGTTCCCGTAGTGTGTGTGTTTGACGTTTGCGTAAATTGATATTACTATCATATTATCTAGGCGGTGAATTGGGATTGGATAAGTAAAAAATACGGCATGCAATCTTTTGCTCGCCGGACGTATGTGCATCACACAAGGCATACTCACCGCTTTCAATACCACCATATATCGATCAGGCACTACATCGTCGGGAACATCAGAGCCACGCAGCGGAGCTTGGCCGGCGACCGACGCAACGGTGAGAGCACTGACTAGTAGTGTAAGGGGTACTCGCATTCTTTCCCACCTCCGCTGCTCATTTACGTGTACCTAGAAGGAATTGGGCAAAACGAGTCACGTGGTTATAAGGAAGTTCCCGAATTGATGACGTTAACTGTCTTAACAATGGGATGGCACAGGATCTAAGATCGTCGCCTATTCAGGGTAGTGGGTGAATAAATACAAAATACCAATTCAATATCATCGATATGATTCTATTAAGTGAATGTGCATAGTCATGATCAAAATGTTAAAACCTTTTATGAAGAAAAATTGTAAAAATTTTGTATATGGTTTCATATATTAACTCCATGATGTAACTGAAGGTCATTGCCAAGGGTAATAAATGGAAACCCATGACAGCCATTCAGGTGAGAAAACAATGCGGTTTTCATGTAATTTATGCAAATTAAAGCGCAACATCCGTCGCGTAGCGCGTGTTCGAATTTCGTGTAAACAAACAATTTAGTTCACACGCGTTGTATATGGGACCCATATTGAATTGTGACGCGGTGCGACGACTGTAGTAGTTTAAAATTGTTCCTCCTCTGGGTTCAAACTGATTTGAGATAAAAAAAAAAAAAGTACGAACTGCAAAGTATAAAGGATAAGTATAAAATATCAGGATGTTTGCTGTACTTCCTTGCGCTGTATTCACTTTAGTGAGACATTTCAAAAAAACTATTACCCCGACTACGATGTCTAGGAGGAGTTTAAGTTTCATGTTTTCGTTAAAAAAAATGCACCAGTCTCGAGGGGTGGTCCTATAGCTGTGCATACATGACCATATTACATTCACACATACACAAAAACAAAACAAAAAAGAAAGTGTCTAGTTCAAATTATTTTTAAATTCGAGTAAAAATACGATGAGAGCGAATATTTGTTAGTAATACAAATGACGAGATATCACCTACCTTATAAGTGAATCGATTCAGATTCCGAATGAGTTCAGTGGGGGAATAGAAGAGATGGATAATGGTTCAGATCCAGTGGTACAATGGCTTTATTTCCATACCCTGCTATGTTTATATATTTCATTCCATACGGTCATCGATGTTATTATCGTCATCAATACTTAATAAATCACGTAGAACTGATCAGTACAATCTGCTTTGCGATTACAATATCTCTTTAAATGCGGATATCTTTCATTACAGGGCTTTGTAATTGAAATGGACACCTTCTGCAATTTACAACACCTTCCTCCGTCACTACAAAGATTTACGGAGTGTTTGAACAGATGTAAATCGACGATAAAACGTGATTTCATTATTTTTATTGCTTTGCACTCTTCCAAATTGTATAGTATCGACGTGTTCTTTATGCATTTAGGTACATGAGGGTTGTTCTATGTGTGGGCACATTCTCCGCAATAAGAATCACGCATAGGGTTTTGTCTATTCTACGGCGACTCTAAAAACGCCCCGGTGCCAAGCAATCACACTAACTATAATTGCACCATTTTTTTCTATATTTTTTCTGTCTTCAACATTAGTTATATAATGTGTGTGTGATGTATACATTTGGGCTGGTGATCTATTGAATATATTGAATAAATTAAATTTAATTAAAAAAACAAATTAATAAATTAAATAGCAAACTTTACTTTTGATATTAATCTTAAACTACAATAATATTTTTTACATTTTCACCCTATATAACTCAAACTCCAAGTCTTGTTCTACCGGGTTCCAAAAGTGCGTTACTCGGGTGGATGCATAAAAAGTGATTATCATTTCATTATTCCATATGACTCATCTTGGATTCACGCGATGTAATTTGTAGTTGAACCCAGCAACGTATTATAATATAATTTGATTTAACGATTTTTAAAGTTCAATTAAATGGCGGCAGTCGTCGTGCCGCGTCCTGTTCGATATGGGACTCATAGCGACGTATACAACACGTGTAAAATACATTGTTTATTTACATGAAATTCGAACACGCGCTGCGCAACGACCTGATTTGAAGATGTACCAAAAAGGCGCTGACTTGACAGAGATATCGTATGCTCATCTTTCCCTACGCTACAACATACAGCTTGTACCAACTTGAAAAACGTTGACTGTATAGCTAACTATTCTTCGATTTGTTTGCTCCAAAATTTGAAAATATTCCACTCAGTTTATTGCAGACAAATATATGTCCATATAATAGTACTTGCATCAAATAACAAACGTATAATTAAGAATATTGATAAACACCGACATAATTACACATGTTAATATACCATTAGGAATGGTATGTCGCAAGAATCCATCGTCTTCTCTCCAATTTCACAATAAGATAATCAGACCTATGATATTTAACACTTTTCATTTTTTCCGACGAATTCAATCAGAGCATTTTAGTAAATTCTCTTCCAATTCGATTATATTGACGTTATTTGTTTGTAGAAATGAACAGCATTTGACACTTATCCTCACTAACAGCAATCCTTCATGAAAATACCTAACACAACCAATTTTAATCAGACTGTATTTAAGTTTGAGTCAGCAAATAAAATACACATTTAAAAAAAGAACATAAAAAATCAATATCTTTAAATTAATGTCGTTAAATATACACAGAAATGACACGGTCAAGGACTGAACGCGACGACACGCTATAGATCACGCGGGTGCATTTTTGTATAGTACTGCTTTTCGTTATCTGACGCAGATCATAGAAAAGAATAAAACAGAATACTTTTGTTTCTTCCATTTAGAATATAATATTCGTCTTCTTTGCTTTAACGTAGAACTGGAATTTAGACTTGTAGGGATTTGTTGGGATGTTAAACGCTGTTGAATTGATAGTGTCAATGCATTCATAAGAATGTGATAAACTTGAAAAATACCTCAGAGCGTGTATTACAGCCCAAAGCAAAATGCGTTGAGTGTTTGTTATTTATTAACTCCTAGCCCACTGACAGCATTTGTTGAATATTCAAAAATAAACTAAAATGACAGTAAACATAAAACAAATAAATATAAAAAGTTAGTATTATATGGAATTTGTGACAATTATTAATCAGTCATTTCAACAAACATACTAGTACCATAGCTGTCACGGTGCTATTACGCAATAAAAAAAAACAAAGACTCAATTTAGTTAAAGGTAAAACTTGTAAATGTTCCTGGTTAGCCCAAATTTGCTTATCAGATTTTCCCACCCTCATTCCATAACAATATTTTTTGTTTTAGTGTGTCTCATTTCTACATTGAATTTTCGTCTGAACGCAATGTATACATTAATGGTAATACGAGACTTACAATTAACATGCTATTAAAGACAAAACACACTTTACGACGCAGTAATAATGTAAAATCCAAATTTGTAAAAGTATATGGAATCAAATCCATTGTCTCCATTATTGAAATTATTATCCGTAAAATATGGACAAGATGGTTAGTTGTCAATAAAACATTGATCTTTACAAAGAGATTGTAAATATGTATTATTAGTTCCAAATTTCAAAAGAGGTGTCCACAGTAATATACTATTGATATTTTGATAATTTTGTTTGGATATATTATACATATGCAAGCAAATAACCTTTGCAGTTAGCTGTGATAGACTCAAACCATTCGACTCGAGTGAGAAACTGAAATTTTATCGCAGTTCAGAATGTGACTCTATATTTGTTATTATTTTTTTTCGCCATTCATTTATGAGAAGTGAATTATATTCTGCGAGTGGACTGATGTTCTCGAGTGGCGGAAATCGAAATTTATTGGCGAGAATTAAAATTCCCATCCCAATGATTCGATACTCTCTTATTTGATTGTTGTCATTTAAGCGGAGAAAAATCGTAAATCTCGTCAATAATCACACCTTTTCAATAAATCGCGCCCTCTAGTGACGAAGAGATTATATGACGTAAATGGGAGACACGGACGCCATTGAAACATAAACATAAACGCCGTCACTAGAGGGTGCAATTTATTGGAATACATGTAGTATATTGGGAAGTATTTAGATTCTTACTAAAAGAATAAAAAAATCTCATCACTAACCGCGATAATGCGCTAGTTTCTCGCCCTCTTCTCGAATCACCCTAATAGTGTATTATAATACAGTTCACCATGTTTGCATGATGTTTTGCTGAAGAACAAACATTTCTCTGTAAACCAAGGCAGGATTACTAGTTAATTTCAAAATTCATTTTCATTTTGAAGACCAATTAAATTCTGTACCAGACGTGAGTGAATTTCCGCCGATGCAAACAGAATTTTGTCACGCACACGTTAATAGCAGCATAAAGAAAATACCAGAACGGTTCATCTGATGATCATTGTGTCTATCACGAAATGTTAATTGAACTTTTCATAATTAGAAAACTCGGAATGCGGTACTCATCAATGATACTCTCTAGGTGTGTTCACACACCATTTTAACGTTTGTATGGTCAAACATTACGAAGGAACAACGTACACAACGATACCACTGGCGTTGCAAAATATCAAATTTAGAATGTGATTAATAGTACACATGAATAAGTACTAGATCATGAAAGGTAATGCTCGATGGCGAATAAAGTCTATACAGATATAAATACACGTATTTTGTCTGTTCTGATGGTATTTGTGCGGCCATGCTATATTGCGAAAGCGTGGATTGCCATATATGGCCCGCTTTTATCCCCACAATATCATCGTAAAGCATACTATATTTCGAGAGTAATCATACTCGCGGCATATGCACGCACGTAAATTGTTTGTTGCACTGACTGTTTCCGTACATGTATATGAATCAGACCCTCCCCTGTATCCGAAGTTGTGTTTGTCGAGTCGGTCCTAGTCCACCACTTACGGTATATATGTATTAGGTATTCTTAGTATCATTAGACAAACAATGTTGGTTACAGTCCTAACGTGTTTTGACAAAAATAATAATACAATGTATGTTCATGGCCATTGTTTACATAACAATTGTCATAGCGTGAAACATTAGCAAACGAGACGTGTTTAACAATGCGATTTATTACCAGCCTGGACACATTCGTGTCATCTGAGATCTAAATAACCTAAAACACATTCATCTTGCTAATTAGAATTAAAACATTTTTGTATGAAATTATAAAGTGATAGCGCTAGTGTGGAAGGACGGTACGTTTGTCACGCTCAACAAGGTCATGCGAATTAAATAGTTATTAATGTAAAACTGACAAGGAAGCGCGACAATTCGTTTCCATGAGCGACGCGTCGTATCGCCCAGGAATGGAATATCACGATGATTTATGGTGTTTTGGATTTATCAATCGACCCCCGAAAAACATACACCTATCATTGCTGTCCTTCTCGTTGTTTGTTTTGTTCACTCATGCCTTGCATAATGGTCTTGGTTGTTGGAAGGTGCCGTCAAAGGTGGTGTTTATATCCTCGTTTACCAAACGACGTATGTTTTATTGTTGTCCACGTGGGCCGCGAATTTCCCGGATTTTATGATCGACAGAACGTCTGGAACATTGACGCATGGAGGTAAAAAAGATTGACGTCAGGCCAATCTATGTAACCTATGATTGTTTTCTAAAATCAAATTTTAGCTCTACTCGTGTTTAACATCTTGTTTTGAAATGCTGGATTTTCAATTGAATAACTGGAGATAAACGTATCTATAAACGCAGTGTTTTTTTTGTTTATCAGTTCACAGTGTTGAGGGACTTGATCAGTTTCACAGATGAGAGTGGGGAAACAAGCAGCATAATATTTAAAAAGAAGCCTGCTAGTTTCAGAGATTACTATAGTTTATGTTGTTCACACTTTAATCTATATTTTGTTTTCCCTTGTGACTTCAATCTAGTATGTAAATTTGTTGTGAGGTGCCCCTTTAATATTTCTAAATTTGGCGGCAACCACGACGACATACCATTATTTGTAGTCCAATGCTTGTCACAGGAGCACGTACTGTAACAATTTCTTGTAAGGGTATAATATATTGTTTTTTTACTAATTTATAAATCTACGTATCTTGAACACACTATATATTTCACTATA